TGTTATAACTTTTTTCTTTATTTCCAAATATTTAATAATCTTGTTATAACTTTCATTCTTCAGTATTTTTTATAATATAATAAATTATTAATGATTTATAAAATAATATGGGCACCATTTATCATTTAGCCCAGGGCCTCTAATTTCTCAGGACCGGCTCTGAGTATTATTTAAGTAATCAGAGAACATGATATGATTTACTTGTTGTATATAAAAAATTGGTTCTATTATGGAGCAAACTATTGGTTTCATAGCAAAAAACCGTGTTAACCATCAAACAAAAATAGCATAAAGTTAGTTGGTCAAAGTTATACATACTATACATACCCGACTAAAAACTCCATTCGACTCTTATCTGAGTTGGTTAAAATAATATTTCACTCTTTGTTAGGTAGTTTGAAAGAAATTAGTTAAACAAATGTATCAACATAGACCATTATTACCAGGCGGTAATAATGATGCAACCTATATTTGGGTCACTCAGTAAGGTCAAAAAGGTTACCCATATCAATCCAATTACTAATCGCCACGTGTCCGGAAAAATAATATGCTCTTCCTTCAACGGACGCCGACGAACCCACCCTCCCCAAAACCCGCAAAAGGCAACTGGATCACTCGTCCAATCGCAATTGTTAGCATGTTGCCATCCGACGGCCGGGATTCATTCCCACCAACCACCATCAGTTTTCTGCCACGTGTCGGTTGTTTTCGGAAAATTTACCTGTCATCACCGGTCACCAACTGCCTAACAGAATTCCTCTCCTCTCCTTTTTCAGGAAAATGATACAATCCCGTTACATAACATTCCGTCGAGACTTGTAGCCGTTAGAGCATCATGTAACCGTCATGGATAGTTGATCTAACGATTACAAATCCTGACAGAATGGTTCCGTAACGTGACTGCCCCTTTTTCATTCCCTTTTTCTTTTTGTTCTATTTGCAAAATCCCTTTTTTTGAATTTTCCTTTCATTTATCCGTCATTTTCAATAATAAACAAAAAAAAAAAAGAATTTCATTTCCTTATTAATTGTGTGAAACGAAACGAAGGAAGAGCATTTGCGAAATTCATCGAAATCTTGTCGTTCAAATTCTCTTTCTAGAAAGATATTTATACGTCTTTATATTTCGATCTGAGGATAGATTTCATTTTTGCAAGGCCTGCGAAGTTGAAGTAATTAAGAATCTTTTCGGGGATTTTTTCGAAGCAGGTCGTGTGTTTATTGATTTTCGGAAATTTTTGCAGGAGGTTAATTTTTTGTTGCAGATAAGGAAGAAAAGGAAAGATCTTTGTAGTGGTTGATCTTGTTTGTCTAAGAAAATTAGAGTTGATCTTTGGAAGAAATATGGCTGCTGGCACTGAATTTTCACCCGTATTCATACAAGGTGGTGGTTATAATAGTAAGGATAATGGCAGAGTGAATGAGGGGATATCTGAAAATGTGGAGGGCCTTAAGCAAACATTGACATGTAAACCGCCACGTCATCTCTCCGTCGTTCGCCATTCTATCAGCGACGCCACTTTAGTCTCACCCACAGAGTTAGTGGTAAATTTATTGTTCTGTTGATGTGATGTCAAGTTTTCAATTTACGGTATTTGAATCGAAGTATGCCAATCGATATAGTAGTATGGCGAGGTTGCATTTGGTTTAGTGATTAATGATCTGATTGTTTTCGATTTATGGATTTTGCTTATTCCATTTGAATTTGTTGTTTTCCGGGTTCTATCTTGTGATGATGTTTTATGAATTACAAATATTTCTGCAAGGACTCTGATCTTGGAGAGTCTGGACACAAGTTGCCGTCAGATACATTTTGTAGCTTCCAGCCGGTTTTTCGATCTGGAAGCTGTGCCGAGAAAGGGCCTAAGCAGTATATGGAGGACTTGCATATATGCATAAATGATTTGCCGCAACATTTAGGCGAAAATGGGCGTTGCACTTCCCCTGGAGCTTTTTATGGGGTGAGTTAGAATATATGGTTAAAGGATGCAGAAGTTTTTTCACGAGAAAGTATAGTTGCAGCTTCTTATTCTATTCTTGTTATTCTGTAATTATTGATACTCACATTTATGTACACGCAGGTGTTTGATGGTCATGGAGGTATAGATGCAGCATCGTTCATCAGGAATAATATACTTAAGTTTATAGTCGAAGATTCCTTTTTCCCAGTATGCTTGGAGAAGGCAATCAAGAGTGCTTTCTTGAAAGCTGATTATGCATTTGCCGATGACAGTTCTGTAGACATATCATCTGGGACAACAGCGTTGACCGTATTCATTTCTGGAAGGTACGCGAGAATATTTTTTTCGTCTTTGTCTCCAATCACTCCTAGATTCATACAAATTTCCGTACTTGAAATTTATAGACATATACTCAAGATTTAAGTGATCGAGTGTTTTTGCCTTCACTGTCACTCATTTATTTTTGGGTCGTCTATTTCCTTATGATGATCTGTATTCAAGGAATTAGTTTACACCAGTAAGTCGATATGAAAATGTCTTCATTTCAAGTGTCTATAATAGATTACAAAGGTAAGCAGATGTGAAAATGGTGTATCCTATATTTGAAGTATATTAGATTATGCTTCATAAAAGTTTCCTTTTTATGAAACTATTCCCATCATGATGCGTAAAAAAATATTTTCCATACTGTGTGCAGAAGAATGATAGTTGCCAACGCGGGGGACTGCCGGGCGGTGCTGGGCAAACGGGGCAGGGCCATCGAGCTCTCGAAAGACCACAAGCCCAACTACACATCCGAGCGTCTCCGTATCGAGAAACTGGGAGGCGCAATATACGACGGGTACCTCAACGGGCAGCTGTCTGTGTCGCGGGCCCTGGGTGACTGGCACATGAAGGGCCCGAAAGGGTCAGCCTCCCCACTAAGCGCAGAGCCCGAACTGCAGGAGACAGTTCTTACGGAGGATGACGAGTTGTTGATCATAGGGTGTGACGGGTTGTGGGAAGTGATGAGCAGCCAGTGTGCTGTGACGATGGCCCGTAAGGAGCTTATGATGCACAATGATCCCGAGAGGTGCTCCAGAGAGCTTGTGAGGGAGGCATTGAAACGCAACACGTCTGATAATTTGACGGTTATAGTCATCTCTTTCTCCTTAGACCCACCGCCAAAGATCGAGATTGCTCCATCTCGGGTCAGGAGGAGCATCTCGGCTGAGGGCCTCAATCTACTTAAAGGTGCATTGGAAGCTAATTAATCACATTCTTACAAAAATCAACTGGGCTTCTCTTCATGTATCATATGAGCTTGTGGTGTATTTTTTTTGCTGTGATTGACGTTTAGGTCATTGTTTTTTGGTTCCTTATGTATATGTTGATGTGAAATTACTGTTGGTCATCGGGAAAATAAAGTTTTTCATAATTCATGATTTCACCTGATTTTCATAAAGTTTGTACCACCTACAATAGAAAGATTATGAGAATTTTTTTTCATTCAAGTGTGTTTTAATCGAGAATGATGAAAATTCAATAGTTTCTGAATAGTTACTACAAAAAACATCAAGTGCTATCAAAACTCTGAACCAAAAATATCAAAGCTTATGAAGTAATATCCGCAACCTCGTCTCAAGAACCGCTCTAATCTCTTGTAAAATCCAGTATGTCTGTCCACCGGTATGTGATACGTGGTTTCTTAAAGTTCTCTGTCGTTGATATCTTCTTCATCAATGGCTTCCTGGGTACCACTGTACGAATGATGACAAGTTAAGTAGACCTTTTTCTTTTCCGTTTAATGATGACCGAACTAAAAGTGAAAACCGGAAACTAATTTATCAACTGAAACATGAACAACTTTTATTTTTGACTGAACTATGAGGTAATACAGTTGAAACTAACTAATTGAGTGACACATATGGAAGTGCTTTTTCAATGCAAAACTTATGAAAACTTATGAATAACAGCAACATTGTACTGGTATTTGGATATGAAATGTATTACCTTGTCCTGCTGCAGTATCTACCGAGGTCTTGGCAGAGGACCTTGCTTACTTCTCCTGCTTTAACGGACCCTTTCTTTATCGATTCAGCAAGCTGTTAGCAAATAGTATTTGGTTGTGTTAGAATTTTTTTTTGAAAAAGAAGAACGTTGACCAAGATATAGTGGAAAAGATTATTCACCTCATCTTCAGTTTCCTCAAGTAACCTAGACAGACAGAAAATAGATTAGAGAGGATGAGACTAGGTTTTTTACATAGTCCTCAGGACAAATGAATTGAGAATCACCACAATGATTTGTCCCAACATTCAGCACGCTACAAAAAAAAAAATAACTTACCTTCCACAGAAAGTTGAGATGTCTTTGGAATATGCCCGAGCTTCTTGTTTATCTGAAGTAAAGATTATTGATTATGAAATAGAATATAATGTGTCAGAAACCATCATAACGTCAATAGTAAAAACACACAACAATAAATAAAATATAATAAAAAAAAAACAAGAAAAACGAAAACCAGAAGCCAAATGAAAAAACAAGCCACTTTAGTGAAGTTAAGATAACAAATCTAAATTTTTCAGTTAAGTTCTGCAAGCCCAGTACTAGCCATGACTTCATAAGACCTCGTCAAGAAACATCTGTAGCTCACTGAGCGTCTCTCTCCTATTTTTTTGTCTGTAGAAACTTCTTCAATTAATATTACTGGCATCTTGTATATTTGAGCACCCAAAATCTAATCATATATTTTTGCTTGCCCAGATAAACAAGCCAGATTATAAGGTCAAGGCCTGTGCATTATGTGCAGTCCGCATCGAGCATACTCATGTATTAATGAGATCTAACCCCAACATGAAAAAAATATTATTTTCATATTTATGCAAACGACGATGATTTTACCTGCATTTGCATTTCCACCCGAAAATCATTGTCTCAAAGCATGCTTTAAAAGAAGATCATTTAAACTTGCACTACCAGTTGCAATGGCATAACAAAAATAAAAAAACAATATTTAATTTCCCAGTCCCAGGGTTTTCAGTATACATTCCATGTGCCCTCTTGTGCACAGCAGAAGAAACTATAAATGAGAGAATAGAGAATTCTTTAGTCATGCACTTACATTTGTAGTATTTTTTGCATCACACAGGAATATAAACAACATTGATCCTTGTCACACAACAGTTTTTCTATGGAGCCAGTTGGTTTCATAGTGGAAACCAACCTCGTTTACATGACAAGTAAAAGATACCATTTAAAAAGAATTGATTGTGTTTTTAACTTTTTCTTTTACAAATTAAAGAATCAGTTTTGCTATAGAGCCATCTGATGGCTTGACTTATGGAGTCATCCACACTTATTCACAAATAGTGTATTGACATGTGTCCTACAATAAATACACTTTAGACAGATGTCAATACAATAAGTGGTGTATGGCTCCATAACAAAACCATCCGATGGCTCCATAGAATTTTTTATTAAAGAATATGGTATCTTTTACTTGTCATGTATACGAGGTTGGCTTCATAGAAAAACTATATCAGACAATTATGATCAGAGGACGGTATGGCAACAGCTAAAGATCCTGGGAGATAACTGAATATTTATCTAGACCACCAAGTCTCATCTTTGCCAACCATAACAAAATAGTAAGACATGTAACACTGACATATATTCCAAAAGGATTTATTCTATCCTGATGGTCACAATCAATAGATCCATTTGGGTGAGAGCCAGGGCTATTAAGACTACCAAACTTATCCTATGAACACCAGGTCTTACCTTTGCTAGCTACAGTAAAGCAGCAAGACGACATGTAACACTAGCATATGATACAAAATTATTAATACCAGTCCTGATGGCTAATCAATAAATCCATTCGGGTGAGAGCCAGTGCTAATAATACTACCAGATGCAAAAAACAGTTAATTGAAAAAAGAAAATGTTTAAGAATAGAGTCGTTCTGCTGCCATAATATTTCTTAACAAAATCTCTCAATTACAAGTTCATCGGCATCATAATGAACCAGCTACAACAGACAGAATGACTTTCTTTGTTCCGATGAGAATAACTTAGCTGGTGAGCAGTAGAACGAATTTTAAAAAAAAAAAAGCATAATAGTTGAAAAATAGCTGGAAAAAAAATGTTTTATCACAGTGATTTTTCATGAAGTTAACGGATGCCAAGCTTGTGCACTACTAAAACGAGAATTACTTAAATGTATAAGGGCTTTTAGGCACTTGAAATTTTCTTCAAGTATAGCTAAGTTGGTCAGGTTTGCGTAGCTTAGTTCGCAATGAAAACACAACTTGTCGATGTGCAGTAGAATGAGAGCTGAAAAAAATATGTAACAGTAAACACTTCTGGATGCAAATACAAAAGATTTAATGAAGTCAATATTGGATGCATACTAGTTGTAAGGTTGTCCCAGCTATTCACTTTGATCCATGTTTGTCTGCTTGAATCCACCTGCCAGCACACAGAGACTAACATCAGCACAGAAGGGCTGAGCAATATGGTTTGTTCTACGGAAAAGCTGAATCGAAGTCAATCTTTGCCATGTAAGACTATAATATACGCTACAGTCGGAAATGAAAGAGACTCTTCCACGTAAAATGAGGAAAAACATGCCACCTTCTCGAGAGTATAATCTTGCATCTTTTCACACAGCCCATCAAGGAGCTCAACAACTCTTAACTCACTGACCCTGTCAGGAAAATAAAATCAGGAGACACATAAAAACGAGCTCACCCACATAAAGAGGCATATATTTGAGGTTTTTAGGTAAGAAAATCACACTTACCTGTAATCTATAAGCTTCCCTTGACGCTGACCCTTAGAATCCAACCGGTGCCTCATGTCCAGATGATTTCTAGGCTTTTCCTGTGCTCAACACGTCAATATTTTATCGTAGTAGTTCTTTAAAGGTGTAAAATCATTGTGTGGTTAAGTAGCTAATACTGTATTCTGAAAACAGAATAAATGAACCCTTATGCTCCCTAAATTATTAATCCATTCAGAATCAACCAACAAACTCCGAGATTATACTAATTTATTGCATATGCAGTTCAGAGAACCAATTTTCTACATTCAAGGCTCACTCAACTTCCAATTAGCAGAGTCTATCATTAGATATTCAGTTAGCATCACATAGAGATTAACCCAATCAAAATTTACAGTTCTGAGATTCAATTTGCATAAAACAAAGTAAAGGGTTTTTGATAATTCGTCTTTCATTCACAGTCAACCAATGCGTTGTGCTCAGAGACAACAAAATCACAAGTAAAGATACACAAAATAAGCAAAATCTTACATGTAACAGTCCCAGCTCTAGCTCCTCCTGCCGATAAACCACAAATGTCAATCAATAAATCAAAGGGGATGAAATAAAAACTACATTATATAGAACAAGCTAAATAGGATAAGCGCATCCAAGTAGAATCCCAAAAAAAGAAAAGAAAAAAAA